AGAGAGAGAGAGAGAGAGAGAGAGAGAGAGAGAGAGAGAGAAAGAAAGAGAGTTTTCACTGAGGAAAAAAAAAATCCCAAATAAATGATAATATTGCGCCTAGTTTTCATACTTTAATCTATATAACTATATATTTTATTTGCAAACGGTATATAATCCCTGGCTATATTATTATATGTTAAACGCACTTTCATTCTTTAATACTTTGAATGCCAAGCGTATTTCGGGTGTGTTTCCTACAAAGCCTGAAGGTTGACGTTCCTATTTGAGTAGATGAATCCGTCTCCCAGAAATGATAGACGGGGCCCTTGCAAAAAGTCATGCGTCTTCTATTTCTGGGAGACGTGGCACTCAAAGTAATAATTATTATAATAATGAATAGAATACAGGTTAGAAAGAGAAGAAAAGCTAATAATTTTATTTTTTACCTGATTAGAATAAATTTCGATGTCAATCAGCTCTTTTATCTCTACAACTTTCTGAGATATTAAATCACTTGTTATTACCCATAATTTTTGTAAACAATATTCATAATATTTTTCACTCGAAAATTTATATTTCTGTTAGTAAGGAAGGCATATGAAGTTTCAAGTCACAAATAAACGTAAATAAAACTAAAATTAAATTAACATACACTCCAAATACATCTGTTCTCATTACATATATCTTATTATCAACAATGCAATTAGCACGGTTTCACACTTGTTCAAGATCATTGTAACAACCAAATGAAATGACATCATAAAAATGCCTTTTAAAGAATAATAGTTCCTTAACATAATTCGATCGATGATAAGTCGTATTATAAAGCTGGTCCTCGGAAGTCAATGAAATGTAAAAAAATTAAGATGCGTCTAATAATATGACCAGGGACTGTATGTAAACTTACAGTTTAGTCTAAAGTTTTCTTTATATTTGACAAAATAAATGTCAAGTAAAGGCATTAATACCAGATTCAGAATGGGCGATTAAGTTACATCGGATTACGTTGAAAATCATCGGTTTGTGGCCGCCAGATAACCGAAAGGCACATGAGATGGTACGTTCGAAACTTCGACTATTGTGCAACGTTACTACAATATTCTTCGTAACAACGATACCAACTTTAATATCATTAATACAAGTATGGGGCGACATGATATTAATGATTGAAAATTTGCAACTCAGTCTACCTTTGGTGATGACGGTGTTCAAAATCTACGTCATATGGTATAAACAAGAAGGTACATAATATGTGGCAAAATATTTCACTGTTATTATTTCGCTTAACCTTTATTCAGTTAGTAAATCACGTGAAAGTATCTACATTGCAAAATATTAACGCTTCTCTCGTTATAGCCTTAGCACCTCTAATTGACATGATCGAAAAAGATTGGATAAAGGTGAAGATGAAGGAAGAGCGAGATGTTATGCTGAAGTGCGCCATGATCACTCGCGTAATCGCCATGTGCGGAATGTTCATATTAATTTGTGCAGTTTCGGTTACTTTAATTCTTCCATGTTTTGGACTGATGATTAGACAAGAGACGAACCTGACCGATCATGAAAGACCTTTGCCGTTACAATCGTACTACTTGCATGACGTATCTAAGAGTCCGCATTTTGAGCTAACATTTGTGGCACAAGGAATCATAGTGTTCACAGGAGGACTTACTTATTCAGTGGTTGACCACTTCCTCGGACTATTGGTTATACACATGTGCGGGCAACTGCAGAATCTAAATTTGCGATTGACCCATATGGAAAATTATCCGAACTTTGATGCAGCATTGAAATATAATGTCCAAGATCATACACGCTTGATCAGGTGCTCGACGTATAGGGGAGATCGGAACAAGTTCGAATGAGGTGTAGTTTAGTAAAGCGAGTTTTGTTTGTACAGGATATCCCAGAATTACCATAAGTAGAGTATTTCAGGAGATTCTTGGTAATAAATAAAGCATCTCTTCGTTTACAAAAATTCCGTTCAATTGATATTTTTAAATGAGATCTGTTTAAAGTTATCTAAAGGCAGGTTCCACTTAACGTTCGCAACAATCGCGAACATTGTTCTGTCTTTGTTTAATATCTAAACAACAAAGAGAGAACGATGCTCTCAAACGTTGTGAGCGTTAAGTGGAACGTATCATAATTTGTATGCTAGACGCGAGTTAGGAGCGACTTGCAATAGATGCACCCTGCAAAACCACAAAATATTATAAGTCTTGTGTATGCTATTTCTCTTCTATCTCATTACAAATTTTATTAAAAGAGAAAATGGCATGTTGTGGCCCCTCGTTTATATTTTGTATAATTATATAATTTTGTTAATAATCAATATTTCGAGTTGAAAATTTAACGATTACATTCGTCAAAGGGATGTTCAATTAATCCTCGACTTTATTTTTTTAGACATCCTAGAGTTTTTTCACAATCTGTCCACAGGGACAATCAGTAGAAATTATACGACTATAAAAATAACATGAAGGGTGCGTATCCAGCGATACCGCCCCATTAAGAAATTATATTCGTGAAAACACATTTGAACGTTGACATTAGGAGAAGAATGATACTAGTTTTCAACCAAGTCGCTAGGTAGGATTCGTTTAAAACGTCGAATATTAGCAGGCCTGTCCATTAGTTTGGTCACAAGGGTGTTTGGGTGAACTGCTAAGCGATTTCGGTAATTGATGCTATACTTCTGAATTTTTTCCTTGACTCTTGGTACTTGCAGTTCTTTATGTAAATCTTCGTTCGTCATGAACCATGGGGCGTTTAAAATTAGGCGTGGTACTTTAGATTGGAAGCGCTGTATAATTTCGATGTTAGATTTAGCTGCTGAACTCCACAGTTGTATCCCGTAAGTCCATACAGGTTTTGAAATGGTCTTATATAACAGCAGTTTGTTCTCAATTGAGAGTTTAGATCTATGTCCTATTAGCCAGTACATTTTGTGGAGCTTAAGCCTAAGTTGTTTGCGCTTGGTAAAAATGTGCTTTCGCCAGGTAAAGCGCCGATCAAGGCAGATCCCCAAGTATTTAACTGAGTCGGACTGAGGAATCGTTTGATTGTTAAGGGTGACAGGTGGACATGTATCTCTTCGCATTGTGAACGTTATGTGCACGCATTTTGATTTGTTGATCCTGATTCTCCATTTCTTTAGCCATTTCTG